CTGGGTTAGCGAGCCTCTCGTGGCCGCGAGGTGGCCGCACATATTGGCTGACCCGGGTTTGTGAAGACCTGCGTTGCAGTTTTTGTTTCTTGCATTGCAGTTTGTTGGTTTCCTGCTGACCCGGGTCTGGATTGACCCGGGCCAGACGATCCCCCAGCAACCCGCGCGCGCCCTCCGAGGAGCACAGCCCTGAGATCCCGGCGTTGCAATTTTTGCCCAAAGGACGCTTTCGCCCAGGTGCGGGCCCAGGGGACCTCACGGGTCGATCGAGCTCGAAGAATGGCGCAGGAAGATGGGATCCGGGGCTGCGCTCGTGACCTTCTGCGAGGCTGCGATTTGCGGCAGCGTCGGATCTCAGGAAAGGTACCGGCATTGATACCACTGCCCTCTTCTTCTTGGGCCTCCTGGGCGACCGAGCCAGGACGCACGCCAGGAGAGGTCCGGGGAGTGGCGTTGCTGCTACCTTCTAGTTTGCCCGCGCTCGGGATGGAGGCGGGATAGATTATTTGTCGGGAAGATTGAGGAGGATTAAGCCCCATTTGGGAGCTGTTACGCCGGAGTGCGGCCTCGGATTAAGCGGGATTAAGCCGGATTAAGCGGGATTACGCGTGATTAAGTGTGATTAAGCTGGATTAAGCCGGATTGAGCCGGATTTCGGACCAGGGCGAAAACAGAATTTGACCTCCCAGGAGTTGCATCCGATGCAGGGTGTTCCCCTCGAAGTGTCCTTCGCATTCGGGATTCCCACACGAGTCGGAGGACGACGGCGAGGGCGCGAGCACAGGAGGGGGGGCCGAGGGACGGGGCGACCCTGCACGCTGGCGAGGCTCCGACATCTGAGCGCGACAGCAGTTGCTGTGGAGCGGGCTGAGCCCAGTCTCGCGTCCGAAGCAGAGTTCCCCGCCGAGTCAGAGGCCTCCGCGCCCTCCGAAGCTCCAGGGGCTCGGCGGCCGGCTTCCCGAGCAGACCGAAGGTCGTCGGGGCCTCTGTCAGGAGGAAAAGAAACACACAGACACAATTAATCCTCGATTTCCCAGAAAATATGGGAAAATATGGGAAGTGGGCGGGAAGACAGAAACCCAGAAAATATGGGAAAATATAGGGAATATTTTGATTTGTGTGTCTTTGTGTGTGTGTCCTGGGGCCCCTTCACTCTGGGCGACGAGAGGGAAGCGGGGTCGTGCTCACCGACAGGGGCGCGCAGGCTGCCCGCGTCAGCTCGCGCGTGAGCGCCCTCGTCTCCACAGTGGCGTGCCGCGCCGGCGGCGCACGCAGGCCACCGCGCAAGGTCGCGGAGCCATCTCGAGCGAGACCCCGTTTGTATTCTCGTCGCCCAAACCTTCGAGCAGTGGCGAAGCGCCCTGGCTCGCCTCGAGCCCTACCGAACCATGCTCTGAGAACCGTCTGTGGTTTTCACGACATGTTCTTAGAACATTTCCGGCGGAGTCTGTCTTGTTTTATCACATCGGGGTAATGTCCTAAGACCATTGTTTTTGTTATTAGAACATTTGTGGGTTCTAAGAACATGTCGTGGTAGGACTAGAGGAATGCCAGGACGGTCGGTCCCTGCTCAAAACCTGCCTCCTCCAAGGCGTGTCCTCCAGCCTGCGTGGGGCTGGCCGCCGCAGACGCCTCCTCTGGCAGCCGTGCGAGGTGGCCTCACCCGAAGCATCTAGAATTCAGTCGGGCATGTCTCTCTACAGGGGAATTGTTAAAAAATAATCAAAAAATCGTCGGGGACGATGTTTCGAATATTGTTGGGTATGTTCGAACATTGCTTCACATGTGTTGGAATTCTTCTCCCAAGATCCGCCTGTAGGAGGACATGCCGACGTGCCCGACCGAACGTTTGGATTGACCCAGTCCCCCCGGGATCACCGAGGCGCAGGTCCCAGAGCTGCACGCGCAAGGTCGCGCTCACGCAGGCGCCTTTCCTGGGCAGGAACTGCGCGCTACAGTCAAACACCCTAATAAGGACGCGCGACTTTGCTCAGGGTACCTTTGCGTCCTTGCTCCTCCTTGCTCTTGCGTCCTTGAGGTTTTCGTCGCCCGCCGCCCCAAAAATCCCAACTTCGGCTTCCAAGGGTCTTGCGTCCTTACCGCGCGTCCTTATTAGGGTTTTTGACTGTACAACAAGTCATCAATCAACGCACGCGGGGGGGGGGAGCATCCCGCCGTCGGGCTTGCCAGGCTCCCGCGCGGATTTGCTGGCATGCCGCGAGGCCGTGCGTCGGTGTCCCCTCTGACTCGCCTCCCCTCCGCGCACGATCTGAAGGTGTGCCTCGTTGGTGGCCCGCGTGAGCCACAGCGTGAATCTGCTATGCCGCTCTCGCGTAAGCTCAGGTGATCCCTCGCTCACATGAAGGCCAGATGCCGCCTTGAGGCCTTGTAGATCGCGGGTGGACAGAGCCCCCACACTGATACGTCGATTCGTGAATGGTCCGTTTCGGTTCTCGAGGGCGCCTCGACCCTCATTTTCCAGGCTTGCGCCCGCCAGGTTTGGGCCCGAAGTCGTTTCACTAAACCACGTTTTGCTAAAGCGGGTCCTGTCCATCTCCGAATAGAGGCTTCGCCAAAGCTTGCGGTCTGGCTGGCAGGGAGCCCCTGCCTAGCTTATCGGTGGCAGGGGCTGCGCACGGGCCGCAGCGGGCACGACCCAAGGCTTGCAGCTAATGGTCAGAGCGCCTCAGGGCCAGGCTGGCGCATCCACGCGCTGCGCAGCCAAGCCTGGGCGCCGTCGTCGTTTTCATCGTCGCCGCCGTCACCACTTTCATCTCGATTGCCGTCACATTCGTCATACACCACACCCGCGCTGCCATGTATCGTGCTGGGGTCCGTTCGGGATCCGAACAATGCAAGCCAGGCTCCACGTATTGGAAGCAGGGCTCGAGCTAAATGGTGTTTTGCCGATTTCGTGGGCCGCGTTCGTTTTGATCGAGTTGAGCAGCGAAGGCATACCGAAGACAGAACGAACGAGCGCGACCCAACACGAACACGCAACACACTGTTTAGCTCGAGCCCTTCCTGGAAGATGGGCATTGTGACCTCCGTGCTGTGCGCAGGTTTCGCGAATGGCACGACCGTCTTGTGGTTGTCGATGTTGGCGCGGATATACAGGGCCTCACGGCGATCCATCGCTTCGAGTCCACCCGCCTCCAAACAAACCGGTCACTCTCTTGAAATCCCGTAAACCTTTGGAGGACGCCACCCTGTTGCTTCCGCGAGGTCATGGTTGAATTCCTGGTGTCCCCCCGGTTTGACCGACCGGAGTATTCCTCAACATATGTATATATATATGTACGTATCAAATCTTTTATTTTTCCAGCTGTGTGACACATGTGTATTCCTCTTGCAACGCTCCGCCTACCACGGCCAGGTATCTTCAAATGGGTTGGGTGTTGTAAGTTTTCCCGTACTCGCATTAAGAAGATGTCCGTCTGGGATGAAAGGATCTCCGCCCTGTAGAAAGGATCTCCGCCCTGCGACGCATGTTGTTTTTTTGCCCGCGTTCTGGGTTCCCGCCGTCCTGCTAGCCCGTGTGATCTTGCAAGATTTGGAGCGTCGTCTCGTGCTCAGTTGTTGATGTGCTTGCTCTGCCATGATTGATATTTTTGCTCGTTCGATGAACTGCGATCGTCGGGGCGACGAGGGCCAGCTGGTCGCAGCGCAAGCGAGAGCGATCGCGAAAGCATCGCTTGGAGTCAGGGAACTCCTCAGTCAACATTGAAATCACACACCACACCCATCGCTCGCTGAACGTGTGTATCTTTGTGTCTCCAGATTCCACTTACTTTTGGCGCCCACCTATTTCAATGATGGGCTGGTTTTCCATGTTCGTTCTTTTTTGGGGGGCGTGCGAAAATCCTACACACGGTCACTGCCATCATTCTTCACATTTCTACCCGCTCCTTCCAGACGATTGCTCATGACCATCATAGCCATGGTCGTCCTCCTCCCCTTCCTCCTCCCCTCCACTGGTTCAAGACGTCCATCAATTCAACGAAAACATCCAGCAGTTTCGAAAGCCTGTCGGGACGTCGCCAGAGGCTGCGGGAACCCATTCCAAACCACCTCATCATGCTGCTCCCCCTTCCCCCCTTCCGCCCGCCCCCATCGTAGTCTCTCCCCTCCGCCGGAGGAGGAGGAGGAGGAGGAGGAGGAGGAGGAGGAGGGAGGGAGAGGGAGGGGGGAGGGAGGGGGGGAGGGAGGGAGGGAGAGAGGGAGATCATCCCCTCTCCCCCCTCTGCCCGCCCCCATCGTAGTTCTCGTCGGGCCCCACCTCCCTCGCCGGGGCGCGGAGGCCCACGACCTCCTGGCAAGTTCGGCGGGCCAGCGTTTCAGCTCCCTCTGCCACGAGGGCAGTGTACGAGGGCTTAGCTCGGGCTAAACGAAAGGAGGAGATTGGGAAAAGGGGGGTTACGAAATCTGCTGCATGCAGCTGGTTTCGGCCCCGCCGCTGGGCCCATTCCTCGATGCATGGGCGCCTCCCGGCGCTGGGAGGCGCCGGGAAAGTCAGCTACGTGAGCTGATTCTGAAACCCCCCCTTTGCTATCCCCCCCTTTCGCCCGGCCCGATTGGCTCTTGAGCAGGGCTGGACCTCAACGTTTTTTTTGGCGATCTCGTGGGCCGTTCTCGTTTCGACTTCGTTTTGCTGTAACGGCGGGTTCGAGACAGAAACGAGGGAAAACGAGAGCAAAACGAAAACGAAAAACGCCGTTTAGGTTCAGCCCTGCTCTTGAGTCTACGCGGCGCATCGTCGTAATCGTCCCTCGGTGCGGCCGCCGTCGCCGTCGCCACCGCCGACCAAGTCGGGGGCGGTCAAAAGAGGGGGGGGGGCTAGGGGGGATGGATATCATGGCGGGGGCCATCTCCCCAGATTCTGTGGCGCTTGTCCTTATTTCGATACGTGCCCCGCCCCCACCAGGAAGCGCACATGCCGCCGGCCATATTTTGCACCCCCCCATCTTGGACGCCCCCATCTTGGACGCCCCCGAACCCAGACCGGGGCGCTCACCGGCCTCCGCTCCCTCTACGACCCCAACGAGGGCAAGCCCATGAAGGCGCCGCTCCACTCTCGTGGGGCTGGGCATCGAGGTTCTGTCTCTAGGCCTCCCAGATGGGATCTGAGTAGATGGGGTCGGAGGGTCGCGCCGCATCGCCGATGTGGAGCCCGATTTTCTCCACGCCGAAGTCGCCGTTGCGCGCGATCTCCCGACCCCATCTATTCGGACTTGATCTAGGAGACCTCTACTGTCGGCCACGCGCAGAGGGGGGGAGGGGGGGAGGCTTCTCAGAAGCACCCATGCCTCTCAGAAGGTGCGGGCCTTGTCTGTAGATGTAGGCCCAGCGCCTTCTGAGAAGCAGCCTCCTTCTGAGAAGCCCTCTCTCCCCCCCGTACCCCCTTGTGCGCGCCGCCAAGTTCCGGATGTTCTGAACCGCTTGCAGCGCCCTCGTCTTGATCGTCACAGTTGGATGGTAAGTCGCGGACATTTCCGCTCGACGTGCGTTGGGTGCATATCGGCGAACAGCGCCCAATAGCGTGGCATCCGCCCACTAGCGCCCAGTAGCGCTCATTGGCCCCAAAGTGTGCCCAAGTAGCGTCCAATAGCTTACAATATCGCCCAGTAGCGCCGAACTGGCGCCCAGTATCGCCCAATGGCGCCATTTGAGGGAGAAGCAGTGACGAAGTGCGTCCACTTTGCTCGCTGTTGGACGCTATTGGATGCATTTGACATTACCGGGACGATCAAAAGCTTCCGTGAGTTGCTTGCTGACAACGAAAAGAACCCAGTTGCCGCCAGCGTCCCGCCCAGGGATGGCCTCGGCGCCGACGAGCGCGTCGGTGAGCCGGTCTGGAGCACCCGCGTGGCCACGGTTGATCTCGCCTCGATGTTCTGGGCAGGACGCACCCGAGGACCTGGCGTTGGGGAATTTCGCTTTTCGATGGGTTTCTGTTGATCGGCGCCTTAGGCGAGTCACCGTCGCTACCTGCGTCTCGGAAGCGCCTGTGTTGGGAAATGTCAAGCGAACACGCGGCTACGCTAGTGGACTGCGAGCTCCCCAGCCCTTGCGGAAGCCACTGGGAGGAAGCATTGGGGGGGAGGCCTTTTTGGCGGTCGTCTGGGGGGGGGGGGGCCCTTCTGGCAGTCTTGGGGCCCACATCGTGGAGCTCTTGGGCCATCGTTCCGTCGTCCTTGGGCCCGCTTGTGCCGCCTTGGGGCCTGCCGGGGGCCCTCCTGGGCGGGATTCAGTTGCTCCGCCTCGGGGCCTCGCGCACTCTTTCGTGCAGGCAACGCGAGAGTCCGAAAAGCACGGAACGCTCGAATTCGCCAAGCAGTGCTTGCACTCAGAGGTTGTCACCATGCTTTGTGCAGTGATTCGACGGGCCCGCCAGTTTTGGTGCACGTTCAGGAGGGGAAAAAACACACAGACACAATTATTCGTCGATTCCCAGAAAATATGGGAAAATATGGGAATTGGGCGGGAAGACAAAAACCCAGAAAATATGGGAAAATATGGGGAATATTTTTATTTGTGTGTATTTATTTGTGTGTCCCATGGCCCCTTCACACGTTGCCGCCTCGTGGGCGCTCGTGGGCGCCCTTTGCTCCGGGTGGTTTCGCGGACTGCTTGTTCCACGCTGCCGCCTCGTGGGCGCCCCGTGCGCTGGCCGGGTCCGCCGAGGTTTTGCGCGGCGCTGCCGCCTCGTGCCGCCTCGTGGGCGCTCGCGGGCACCCCAGGAGTCGTGTGGGTCCGCCGAGCTGTTTCTGTCCACGCTGCCGCCCGTGGCAGCTCGTGGGTGCTCGTGGGCGCGCCGTGTGCTTGAGCTTTTGCACCACATAGTCTACGCCACGTAGCTTGCACGGCATCGCCTGCGCCACAGAGCGTGCACCACGAAACTTGCACTGCACGGTTGGCACTACGCAGCCTGCACCGCACAGCTTTCACCTCCAGCTGGCACCACATGAATTGCACTTCGTACATTCCACCATATTTTAGCACATCTATTTCACCTCCTTGTCTCACATCACATAGCTTACGCATGATAGCCTACACCACGTAGCTTACACCTGGCTGTCGTTGTGTTTCAATTGTTTCGGCCTCTTGGGCAGACCTCTAATTTGGGCAGGCTCGACGGCCTAAGGACGCCAAGAGAGCTTCCCTCCTTCGAAGATATCGTCTCAGAGCCCCCCTCTTGGGGGCCTCTTTGGCTCATCCTGGGGTCCTCGTACACCGTCTCGGACTGATGGGCCCCTTGTCCGTCTAGAGCGTTCTCAAGGCGTGAAGGCCGAGCTTGCGAAAACATTGAGACCAAGTGTGCCGGCCCCCAAAGGACCTCCCAGACGGACCCAGAGGCGGGTGTGCACATGCGCATACACTTTCTCCTCGAGCGGCGGCGATGGGTTGCGATGACCCGGTCAGCTAAGATGAGACCTGTAGCCCTGGTGGCACCACAGGTAAGATGGCCTGCGCGCAAGCACGCGCAGGCTCGCGGATTTCGCGGCGACGTGGCCACGCGCGCAGCTGCGCGGCGGAGGCAGGGTGACGGCCGAGAAAGCGGAGACTGCAGCGCGCGGGGTGGGCTTGGGGCTCGCAGCAGCTGCGCGCCCGCAAGACACGAACGCACACAATTGCTCGCCATCGAGAGCACATGGACTCCTCACCCTAATGATACGATGAAGACGTGGCCTCCCTGAGGTTCCCATCCTCCCATTCAGGATGATAATTCTGGACAGTTTGGTTCGGGCGTCCCACCAGCCGGCCAAGCAGCAGTGTCCATTGCCAGCAGACGGCCGCCCGAAGGCAGCGAGGCGGAACAGGGCCGATGCTGAGCACGAGCAGAGTCGGCGTACACGCACGCGTCGTCCCGGATTTGTCTTCCGATGCGCTTCTGTGTCCTCCGCGGCCCCAGGGCCCCCCCCCCTCCCCCCGGGCAGTTGTGCGCCACCGGGCAGATTTTGACAGCCCCGGGCCCTGGAGAAAGAGCCCCAGCTGCCGACAGGGAAAAGCCTTGATTGTCATTGCCCACCAAGCCACCCCCACCCAATCCGAAGGCCCCAGACTCACTCAGATTTTAGGGTGTGCGACGTTTACTCTGAATTCCAGAATGCTCCCCGCTGGAGATTGACAGGCCCAATGGCTACTTCGGGCTGGGTGGGGGTGGCTTGGCAGCTAGTCAGATTGGAAAGAATCTGTCGTCGGAGATCAGAATCGAATCGTCGGATATCTGGATTCCTCCTCCTGCGCGCTTCGTTCCCGCGCTCAGATAGGAGGTCTCGGAAGCTCCCGCTCGTCTGACATCGAATGCACATCGGCGCAGGGCGCCCAATAGCGCCCGATAGCGCCACGGCAGCGCCGCATAGTGTTCAAATAGCGCCGACGAGTGCCCCCATGGCGCCCACGAGCATCCAATGGCGCCGTATGAGGGAGATGCAGTACGTCCGCTCTGCGCGCTAGTGGACGCGCTACGATGGGGGACCATCGGGACCACCAAGAGCTCCCGTGAGTGCTGTTCGAACCATTAAGCATGATACAAGCCTTAAGCTTTTTAGCACAATGAATTCGTGGCCCAAGTTCGGTCCTCGGTGTAAAGGGTCATCCCTAAATATGTGTGTTTTTGTCCACTGTGACATCTGCAACAAACAGACCCCGTTTATCCCTGATGTTCTTAGCCCTGCTAGCTTACGTCCCCTCCCAAAGGATCAGTCGGCGGCGAGCGAAGGGGGGGGGGAAAATGAGAAGGAGAAGGAGAAGACCTTCTCAGAAGGCGGAAGGACTTCTCAGCAGCCCTCGCGCCTTCGGGAAGTTTTTGTTTGTCTTGGGGAAGGCCTAGCAAACTTCTCAGAAGGTTGGGGGGCTTCTGGGGGGCTTCTGAGCATTCTGAGAAGGCCTTCTCCTTCTCACTTCCCCCCCTGCGCTCGTCGCCGAACTAGGGGCATTTTTTTCGGATGCAACTCCTGGGAGGTCAAATTCTGTTGTCGCCCTGGTCCGAAATCCGGCTCAATCCAGCTTAATCCCGCTTAATCCCGCTCAATCCCGCTTGATCCCCCTCAATCCGAGGCCCACTCCGGCGTAACAGTCCCAAATGGGGCTTCATCCTCCCCAGTCTTCCCGACGAACACCTCCCAGTAGTTGCCTCCTAAGGCTGAACGTCGAACGCTCCCCGGAGAGGCGCGCGCCGACAAGCACGTGAACCACTCCATCAACGACGAGGGCGCCCAGAAGGATCTCTGCACCCCGCGGCCGCGCGCGGCCCTCGCCTGCTCGGACTGGAACACGCCCCCGCCCCTGGGATTGGCATCCCCGTAGCTCGGCGTCGATCTTGATCGACACCTGGAACAGGTATACACATTACCACTGGTTCGGATGCAACCCCTGGGAGGTCAGATTCTGTTTTCGCCCTGGTCCGAAATCCGGCGCAATCCCGCTTAATCCCGCTCAATCCCGCCTAATCCCGCTCAATCCCGCTCAATCCGAGGCCCACTCCGGCGTAACAGCTCCCAAATGAGGCTTAATCCTCTTCAATTTTCCCGACGAAAACCTCCCAGTAGTTGCCTCCTAAGTTACCAATGGCGGTCTGTTTTTCAATCCCAGGACTCCTTTGAGGGTCGGGGTCGACGTCGGCGCGGTATGGTGTATAGTTTTTGTTGTCCGCCCCCCGGGAGCCGGCGCAACTTGTGCTCACCAGGACCCCGTATGCACCAGGATCCGCTTCTGTTTGTGCAAATTTCAATGCAGGGCCAGCAAGAGCGTCGACGCATAGGCTTAAGTCGGGCCCGTCCTTCTACAGGAGGAATCTTCAAAAATAATTGATAAATAGTCTGGGGACTATTTTTTCAATATTTTTGACCATTTGGAATATTTGTTGGATACTTTTAACGTTTCGTCGAAAATCCCCCTGTAGGGGGACACGCCCGACGTAAGTATAGGCTTCTGTCCCCTATTCGAGGACTCGTATGACTCTCTTCGGAGCAGAAAAGGCAGCACAAACGTAAACTTATGGCGCTCTGCGTGGGTTTTTCTCTTGGGCCTGCGCGGGGCCCCCCCGGCGGCGCCTCCAGCGCCGACCCTGGCGCGCTCCGCGCGTCGGGGAGGGGGGGTCCGGCGCAGATCCAAGAACTCCGCGCGGGCCGTGCAAAGTCTGGGCGCCCGAAATGGGCACGGAGAGAATGGGTACGATGCCCAACAGCAGTTCCTGTTCATTGTGAACAGGACTCGCTGTCTGCGCCGCCGCGGCCTGCGTCCATTCGAGACAGAAGGCCGCCTGCCCAACAGCGGCCGCTGTTAGTTTGGGACAACATGTGTTGTTGGGCATTGCACCCATTCTTTCCGTGCCCATTTCGGGCGTCCCAAAAAAGTTTATGTTGACACGCCGGTCGTTGAACGTAGGTATTTCTGGGTTTCGGGATCCAAGTCTACTTCTGGCGCCTTCCCCTACTTCAAGAACCGATGTGCTCCTGCTTTGTTTTGTTCTTCTCTGGGAGGGGCTGGACGCAACCTACGTCATCCGCCTTCCAACTTCATGTGTTTACCTACTTCTTCCGACCGACGTGTATGCCGTTTTTTTATTCCTCTGGTGTTTTTCAGCAGGGAAATCCCGGAGAGCGACCATCGGTTTGGGCAAGTCGATGTCAGGGACAGGGATAAGATTGAAGTCGGGCTTGTCCTTCTACAGGAGGAATATTCAAACATAGTAAAAAAGATAGTCAGGGCACGATTTTTTTTTACTATTTTTGTTTGTCCCCTTTGTGGGGCATGTTTTGCGTATGTTTCATTTTTCGCCTAAAATCCCCCTGTAGGGGGACATGCCCGACCTAAGGATGAGGTCGAGGATGCTTATCTCCCTGGGCTCGCTACCAGCCGGGGCTCCGTACTGGGGCGTGGGGGGGGGACGTCGGCTGGCCCGCGGAGCGGGATTCAGAGGAGAAATAGGCGTGTGGAGGACGATCCAATGGAGAGGAAGCATGTCGCCAAGTAATTCTAAGCCGGGCCTGTACCTGTACAGGAGGAATACTCAGGAATGGTAAAACAATAGTCTGGGGACGATGTTTGACAATTTTTGAATATGTAAGTGTCTTGTTTGACTATTTTTTATATTGTTCGTCCAAAATCCCCCTGTAGGGGGCCACGCCCGACGTAAAATTATCCTGGCAAAGGTCCCAACCATAATGCAGTTGTGGGTACCGTAATTGTGAATATCTGCTTCGGTGAAGCTCCCTATGGGGCCACGAAGCGCTGCACTGGGCGGGGGGGAACGCTGTACTCTGTGGGTTGTGTGCCGAATTGGGTTTCTGGGACGCATGCGGACGGTCCCACTGAGGGCTTCGGTGCAGCTCCTTATGGGGCCACGAAGTGCTCTACTGAGTGAGTGAAAATGCCAAATTGGGTTTCCGGGACGCATGCGGAAGGTCCCACTGGCGGCTTCGGTGGAGCCCCTTATGGGGCCACAAAACGCTGCATTGCGCGGGTGAAAATGCCAAATTACATTTCCCGGACGCATGCGGACGGTGGCATTGGGGCCTTGGGTGGAGCCCCCTATGGGGCCACGAACCGCTACACTGGGTGGGCGAAAATGCAAATTTGGGCTTCCGAGACGCATGCGGACGGGGGCACTGGGGCCTTCGGTGGAGCTCCTTATGGGGCCACGAAGCGCTGTACTGGGTGTGCTGGACGCATGCGGACGTCAGCACTGGGACATTCGGTGGGGCTCCCTATGGTGCCACGAAGCGCTGTACTGGGTGAGTGAAACGCAGGGAGGAGGGGGAGGAGGGGGAGGAGACGCTGTGCTGGGTGTGCGGGACGCATGCGGACGGTAGCACTGGGACCGTAGGTGGGGCTCCCTAATATGGGGCCACGAAACGTCGTACGGGGTGGATGAAACGCAGGGAGAAAGGGGAGGAGGGAGGAGGAGGGAGTAGTGGGAGGAGGAGAAGGAGGAGGAGGAGGAGGAGAGGAGAGGAGAAGTGGAAGAGGGATGGGGAAGAGGAGGAGAGGAGCGCGGGCACTGTCTCTTCAAAGCGAGGACCCAACACCACAGGATGGTTGGTACATCATTTCCAGATGTCTAGAACATGTGTTAAAACTGTTTTAGACATATCAAAAACATGGTTTAGACATGTTCAGCGTATTTTCCTACATGTTAGACACATTGTTATCTCGATGATAGGACTGTTAGGGTGTCCATTGTCGTGCCATCCGCAAACATAAGCATACCGACCAGACTCCCTCGGGTAATGGAAAACATCGACTAGACGTAAGAGTGACCTTTCGCTAGAGTGGCCTTGTATCGTATTCTTGGATCTGCGCTGGGCCCCCCTGGCGGCGCCTCCAGCGCCGCCCCCGGCGCGCTCCGCACGCCAGGGAGGGGGGTCCAGCGCAGATTCGAGAAATCCGCGCAGAGCGGCACAAGTTTATGTTTATGATGCTTGCATCGTTCCTAAAAACGCACCCCAGGAGAAATCCGTGGAGTAGCGGTATCGGCGGCTTGTGGTTCATCAAGGCGTGGACGAAGATCGGAGGCCCCCAGGCTGTGTGGTGACCACGCCGTGGCATGAGCGAGAGGGTGAGCAAGGGCTCCCTCGAGGGCGCGAAGTTATTCGCGCTTCGCGGTCCTCGTTCCTTCTCCCCCTCCTCCTCGTCCTCCTATTCTCCCTTTGGGAGGGCGGCGCGAGAGCGCGAAGTTATTCGCGCTTCGCGCTTCGCGCAGCGCGAAGCGCGGAGTTGGGAGCCCTAGATGAGGATGCAGCCCTGGGAGGTTTAGTCGTTCAGATTTTAGGCGCTGGCATGTCCGCGGTCGAAACAAGACCTGAGCCGGCGCAGATGCGGTCCGTTACACCTCAGGCGATGCTCAAGAAAACTTAAGTTTTCGGCCAGAATTTCTCGATTATTCTTAACGTTTCAATGTAAATCTTAAGATTTTGATGGGAATTTTGGGTTCTTATTCAAGTTCTGAGACCATGAATTTCTTAACCCATGATTTCTTAAGCATTTCGCAGGGTGTATGCTCAATTCCGTGTCACCCGGCTCGTACTTGGGTACACCACAGATTGAGTATGGGTTAGTTTGTTTGTTCGGGCAAGCGTAAGTGTTCGAGCAAGCTTGAACTCGGGTTTGCCGACGTTTTTGGACGAGCGCGTCCTGGATGTTGACGGTCCAGTTTGCGTGGGATGTCTGCGGGAGTTCGCGTCAAAGTTTAGATTGGGCCTCGTCATGTTCACGATGCCCCCGTCGGGCCAATCCGAGTTCTCCGTACCCGAATCTTACGTCTGCCCGATTGATGGCCCCCCAACGGGACCAACACCAGAAGACGTCTCTCGTCGGGGTCGCCAGCTGCGGCATGGCGGCCCCGACGGCGACGACGACGACAACGACGAGGACGGCGACGAGGACGGCGACGAGGACGAGGACGAGGACGAGGACGAGGACGAGGACGAGGACGAGGACGACGACGACGACGACGACGACGACGACGACGACGACGACGACGACGACGACGACGACGACGACCTCGCGTGCACGCTCCTTGGGGCTCGGCCTCGTTGTCCGAGGCCGCCTCGGGCGACGGAGGCATCCAGGGAGGGGTCCCCGGGGCCGTGCGAGGGCTGCCCGTGCGGTGAGGCCTCCTTGGCAGCTCGAGGCCGTCTGATCGGAGGGCACCAACTATACACCAACACCGATCCTGGCCCAGGATCACCCTGGGCCCAGGATCGGTGTATATGCCTTCTTGCCCAAGGCAGGAGGGCGTATACACCGATCCTGGGCCCAGGGTGATCCTGGCAAGGATTGGTGTTGGTGCATAGTTGGTGCCTTCCTATCTGAGGGTCGGTCTGTCGCCGTGCCGTGTTTCGAGGGCGGCCCAGATCAAGCAGTGGCGAAGCGTCTTGGCTCGCCTATAGCCCTACCAAAAACAATGTTCTGAGAACCTTTTGTGGTTTCCACGAGATGTTCTTAGAGCATGTCTGGCGGAGGCTGTCTCGTTTTAACACACCGGGCTCATGTTCTCAGAACATTGTTTTTGTTCTTAGAACATTTTCGGGTTCTAAGAACATTTCGTGGCATGACTATATAGGAATGCCGGGACGGTCGGTCCCTGCTCAACCCGTACCTCTAGCCTCCGCCCGTTTTCCCCTTTCTGGGCCTCCTCGGAGGCCCTCGTCGCCACCGCTGGATTCGCCCCGAAATTCTAGTCAGAACGCACCCTTCTCCCGAACGAACGCCCCCGAGTT